ACACTTTCTTATTCCATATTATATCTATCCTTTCTCATAAGTATTAGTAAACATAACTCTAATTCATATGTGACTTGGCTCATCATCTGCATTTATATCTTTTCTAGGTTCTTTCCTAGTCAGTATATTTTGAATCAAATTCTTATGCTTCATAATTTCTGATTTCAGGTATCAAGCAGTTGCATATATTGAAGCATCAGCTTATATCTACCAAGATGGGAAGGTACTCTCAGTTTTCTGGATACTTTTTTATCATACTGAGATACGCTAAAGACTTGTCTACATTACTAGAATTGTAATCTATATCATCTGTGAGGAATAATAGAAAAGGAATGCAAGACACCTATTTCTAGGTGTGGTATACAATTCATATCTTAAACTGACGAAAAACTGGCTTAATAATAACACTTGATGCTAACTCAACCATTATAACAGACAAGCTCTTTACTTCTAACTCGTCCCTTAAAGTTAAAGTGGAGAATCAACTTGAGTTTACTTATCCAGAAACAACACACAAATTCTTGCTGGAATGGTTTATAGAAGGCATGTCGGAAGGTCATTGACAAAGTTTTGATTCACTAGAATCTTGCCAAAATTATGATAGATGGGATTTCGGCAGAAAAATTTGGTCACTGAAAGAGAAAAATGACTGGAAATATGAAATGTTGCCGGAAAGCGGTATGCTGCCAATGCAACTGTTACCAGAGAAGAGGCAAATTAGTCACAGGTAAAAGGTACTGCTCATTTGGAATTGTCACAAATAATTGGCATGTTGTTAGAACGTTCATCAAAAAGAAGCACGGATGCCACCGGAATGGTCACCCAAAAGAGTCTTTTCCGGGAGAGCAGTCACTGAGATTTGCTCAATATTACTCCTTATTCAAAAAGAAATAAGAGTGGTGACACCAAAATGGTCACCATAAGGAGGAAAGACTGTACATTCAGAAGATGGAACAAAGAGGACTTTAGGAGATTAGAAGAGAGGAAGAAAAAGATCTTGGTAGAATCAAAGAATTAACAGTAATTGAACAAGTGGAAGAATTAACAGTAATTGAACAAGTGGAAGGTTTCAGAGATTTATCACAAAAAGGAACTCTCAAGAAGGATTTCTTTAATAGGGGAATAGGAACAAATAGCCCCACAGAAGAAATTTTGTTGGGGGCAGAAATCAAGATGCTTGTGGTTAAGTGAAAGAGATAAAAACACCAGATTTTTCCACCGACAATACAACCTCATTGTCAATTTGCTAGTAGAGAGGGAAGTAGCATATAGTATACAGTCATGATCCCTATGTGACTACTGATAGGAGGCTTTTCAGTTGCACTGCAGGTTTTCAGTAGTTTTCCTAGGTGTTGGTACGAATCTGTTTTACCTATTATCCAATGTGCTTCGGATCTGATTCCTGATAATTTTTGTTTCCTATTCGTATGCTGCACTCGACCTCCTCAGTTTATGTGTGGTTGATATTACATGTTAAGGTTTCCACTTTTTTCATGCATTACCTCTTATGTGACCTGCTTTCGAGGAAGTAAAGGGTTCTTCATTTTAGATTCTTATAGAGGTTGATCATCTTCAAGATGTGCCTAGCCCTTACATACAAATTAAAGGGGTCAATAAAGAGGTTGTGGCAGCTGCTGGTTCAACGCTCAAATTAGATGGTTCATATACGACCAAGGTTTTGACGTTCATCTTCCTTTTTTCTTCCGATTTGACATTACTATTACTATCAGAATTGTCTTACATCAGAAACAGTCCAAACTGATAGCTTACATTTTTTGAATTTCTTCACAGAGTTATCTTCAAATAGTTTTAGAAAGGTTGCCTGCATTGGAGAGAAGTTCAAGTGGTATCCATTCCCAACAGGCAGCAAGATTGCAAGAACTTGTGGAATACATACAATCTCAGGTAATCTTATTTGGTGGGCTGGCATACCTTAGTTTTGTAGTTATCATTGATATATTTATATGAGATGAAGGTAGAAGGGAGCTTCGGAAACGCTGATGCTTGGTTTTGCATATAGAAGGGAGCTTCAACATGATAATCTACTGCTCTATCTTTCCTGTTATAGTTTGATAACCAAATAGAAGTGGTTGAGGCCAATATTTACTTCAATCGTTTGTCTTTCAAGTTCCTCATTGTTTATGTGTTTGCTGAGCACATTTTTGTTCAACATTGTGTTATTTTTCACCCGTACAACTGAAATCTGAGAATGGCTCAAGTTAGCATTTGATACAAATATAGGAAACATATAAGATTTTGGCTTTACCTTCAACCTGAAAACTTGATTAGGCTGTTCAATTAATGATGGTAAAGCCCACTGGTTGACTTGGACGCTAGTCTGGAGTCTGGACATGGTTGTTTAAATTGTTTTTTCTAATTAAAGAAGAATGGTTGTTGAAATTGGTTTGCACTAGAAATTCTCTCTTCTCCAAGCTTGAAATTCTTCAAGGCCATCTATGAGGTTTTCATTTTCTTGTTTTCTTTTGTTTTATTTTTTTCTCCTTTTCCTTTAAAACTATATAAAGTTCCTTCTTGGTTAATTTTTTCTTTTAATATGGAAATAAACATTTTTGGTCAGAAGAAACACATTTTCCAACAAATGAGGAAAAGTGTTTTCCTTCACAACATCTCAACTCTTAATTTCATCAAAACTTTACCTATCTCAAAAAAAAAAAAAAGAATTCATCAAAACACTCTCCGGTTTGTTAAATTTATCATCGATCTTTCATAATATTTTCTTTGGAAATGTTTTCAACTATCAAACCAAACAGCGGAAAATGTTTTCCGGAAAGTCATCTTCCAGAGAACATTTTTCAAAAAATATCTTCCGTCGTACCAAACAGACAACATAATTGCAGGAGTACCAAGTTTTGATAGCGAAGGCCATATGGCTGACAGTATCCAGTAAAGGAGTTTTTTCGCGTGCTTCCCATTGATTCATGAATCATATATGCCTTCATGTGATATGCCACCTATTTCCCTCAGCTACACATACTAGTATGACATTATGGTATACTTCTACAGTGTTATAGTATGTAGATCGAATTCACCCACATATTACTTCAGCGTTGTGGAATGTTGACACACTGTTATAACATCTAGGTCGAGCTTACTGCATGATATCAAGTCTAATGGTTAGTCAGCCTCTTATTGATTAGTGTTTTGTTTATTGCAAGCAGGGAAGCAGTTCATCTTCAGAGTCCTCGCCCAGTAGAGAGATTTCACCATTGGATGGTGTAATTGAAGACATGCAGTCAAGAATTAAAAGGCTTGAACGATGGCAAATGATCAATACGGTATTTCCATTTCTCTCTTGTTTTCTTGACTGCCTTTCTCACCATAAAAGTTTGAATTCTGGCTTAAATTCTATCATGTAATCACAGGTTCTATGGACATTTTTTATGTCTGCTTTTGTTGGTTATTCACTCTACCAGAGGAAGAGGCAATAGAAGGGTTATAGAGTTGATTCAGCAAAGCTAATGCTTGACCATCGGTGACTGGCTCCTTTGAACAATCTCATAGCTTCTTGTGATCGTCACATTTTTATCGGGTGATTGATCTACTTCTAATTGACTTTCGATTTTATGCCCTGAAATGTATGATGTGTGGCTCCACATCTGTAAATACTAATCTGCAACTGATCAAAGAAATGTGAGTCATTCGTAGTCAATCTTGCAGAAGTTTTCTAATCAAAACTATATTTTTCTGTCCTTACTGCTTCTCTGTGTGGTTTCATGTATGATTCCAGCCAACTCTTAGGGGTCGTCTAGTAGGATGTATTAGGGAAAATAATACATGTATTAGCTTTGGTATTATTAATCCCTTGTTTGGTAGTGTTTTTCAACCTATGTATAATTAATACTTATATTATTCACCATATTCAGGACTGTTCTTATGCATAGCAAATCATGGTATTAGCAATACCATTGTTTTCAATACATGGATAAGCATGTATAAAGACAAAACTGCCCTTTCAAATCCTTTCCAAAGAATGTGGAGGGTATTTTTGTAAACAAAATAATTTTTAAAAAATTATGCAAATGCTATTTTTAATAAACCAAACCAAATAGTTGATAAGAAATAATTCTGGCATAACTAAACCCAGCATTACTAATCCCAACATTACTCATACACTCTATTCAGTACTATTCTTATACACCTTACCAAGTGACCCCTTAGGGGTCGTTTGGTATGAGGTATAAGAAGGTATTAAGGGTGTTATAAAAATTTAATACCACCTTAATACTCTGTTTGGTTAGCAAACTAGGTATAAGTTATCCCGGTGTTAATTTTAACACCGGACTAACTTATACCTTATAGAGGGTGGGGTAATTAGCACCGGTATAACTTATACCTTCTTCTTAGAAATTATACAATTGTCATTCTTAATACAACATACCAAACAGTGAATAAACAACAATCCCAGCATAACTAATCCTAGCATAACTTCTACCGGCATAAGCCCTATTCCAACCAAACAACCCCTTATAGTTTTAAAAGCTAAGGATCCTTTCACTTAGTTTATTTATAGGGCAGAAATGCTGCTAATTAAGATAAAGAGGCTGTGATGGTCTGAATCAGTTCTATTGATAGAAGATTTCTCATGTTTCTTGTTGTTTTGGTTGGTCAAATGCTGTTTGCTAGAAGAGAAAACTTGAATAAGAAAGGTGAAGGGAAAGCAGAAAATAACTTACTTTCAATTGCTTCTTGGCCAGATCACATAGAGTTGTTTTGTTTGTTGTAAGTGCATGCATAACTTCTAGTTTTTAGAGAACTTTTAATATACCTTAAGCAACAACAACAATAATTATGCTCAATCTCAAGTAAGATGGTATTGGGTATATGAATTCTTGTTGAACATTTTGACTTTGTATTATTCAGATTTATCATAAGTTGATTAATTATATGCTAATCATCAGCATTGCTGTACTCCTCCTTTATTCGAGTTTGGGACTGGCAATGTGAGTAGCCGCGCAAAAGTGGAGTTACCTTAAAAGAGATTGAAAATATAGCGGTTGCTTGAAAATTCTTTCTTAAAAGTCAATAATTCTCTTAGCTAATTTTGCTTGTACAATTCAAGGATTCCATAGGTTATTTTTATGCTTTTGATTGAGTTCTTGATCAACCAAATAGAATTACAAAGGTACAGATGAAAGAGCTAAGCAACAGCAGCTGAAATTATATCTCAAACATTGTCTGGTATTTGGTATTTTATTGTTGAGGAAAGTGAAGCTACTGCTTCTTCGACTGTTAAAAAGAGGCAATCTGGTCTCATCATATCTTTAGTTTCATCAGCCCTCTGTAATTTTTCCACTACTTCTCCTATTGGATTCACCAATACAAACTGCAATGCCAAAATCATCAAGGAAATGAATATCAGAATAAATAAAAAAGAAAATGGTCTTGATGATTTTGACTTCATTTGAAAAGAAATAGTGACTCTAAAAGCTATAGTACACTTGCCTCAAGGCCTTTCTTTTCCATTGCCATACTCAAATCCTTGAACAATGAGACTCCACTTGTATCAATGGCAGTCACAGCTGAACATAAAAAAAAAAACAAGCCACAATTACTTTTCAAGTCGAAATTAATTTGTGGGAATTTCTTGATGTCCTAACTGTTTCTTGGTATTATCTAAGTAGGGAATTGAAAATAAAAGGGGGGAGCTCGGTGCACTAAGCTCCTGCTATGCGCTAGGCCGGACCACAACGGTTTATTGTACGCAGCTTTACCCTGTATTTCTGCCAGAGGCTGTTTCCATAGCTCGAACCCGTGTTCCGAAAGTCACGTGGCAGCTAACTTTACCGATTACGCCAAATTGGGATTAAATGACAATATTGAGAACCATGTCTCTATGAACTTACCAGACAAATCAAGGACCACAAATCTAAGCCCTGACTGTTTCTTGTTTTTTCCTCCCTCTGCGTCATAGTCTTCTATCCATCTTGAAATCCTTTATTTTTTGGCAAATAAAAAGACCTAAATAAATATGGAAGGAAGAAAAAAAGAAGAAAAATGAATGCCAAAATGGTCAATGCAGCAGTTCAACTAGTACTGACCTTTCTTTAAGATAAGTTGCATTGGCAAAGTTGATTGGAGCTTCAATACTTAAAATGAGAAAACCAGGAATACTCATAGCCTCCTTATAATGATCAAGATTTCTATAAATTCCAGTACCAGGTATATTTCCTAACATTACTGTTTTTGGCCTTGTAATTTGCAGCAACACCTTTAGAATTGATATTCCAATCTGACATTCATTATAAAAGAAAGTAAAAAACCAAGTAACGTAACAACAACAACATACCCAGTATAGTCCCACAAGCGGGGTCGGGGAAGGGTATTGTGTATGCAGCCTTACCCCTACCTTGTGCAGGCGGAGAGACTGTTAAGAAAAAAAAGGAAAGGAACTTGAGAGGGAGCTTACAGCAATGGCAAGACCATTTTGAACAGAAATGAAGATGACTCCGAAGAATGCACATAACAAGACTAGGAAATCGAATTTATCGATCTTCCAGATCTGGTAAGCAGCTGGGACGTCAATAAGGCCAACAACAGCAGTGACGATGATGGCTCCGAGCACAACATTGGGAGTATATTGGAAGAGAGGCATTAGGAAAAGGAGTGTCACCATCACGGTCACTGCCATTACTATGTTAGAAACTGCAGTTTTGCTTCCTGCATTATGATTCACTGCTGACCTAGAGAATGCACCTGAAAATGTAGAGTTACATTTAACCCGTGTTCTGCAGTTTTAGAAATTCTATAAAAACAACAACAACAAACCCAGTGTAATCCCACAAGCGGGGTCTGGGGAAAGTAATGTATACGCAGACTTTACCCCTACCTTTTAAAGGTAGAGAGACTGTTTCCGATAGACCCTCGGCTCAAGAAACAGTGAAATAAAGCAAACAAACAGTTTTAGAAATTCTAAACTGTTGAAAGATTTATGTACCAGTTGTGACATAGCAGGAAGTTGAGGAACCAACGATGTTCATGACCCCAATAGCAATCATCTCTTTGTTTCCATCCACTTGGTAGTTCTTTAAAGCAGCAAAAGTCCTCCCCACTGCAATTCCTTCCTATGTTTTTTAACACAACACATTAAGTAGGCAGGCGTTTGAACAAAAAAATTGTAAATTTTGAAAAAAAGTAGTATAAGGAGATAAGTCAAAAAGATATTTGAACTTGAAATTTGAAATTTTATGTTTGGGCATACAAGGTAAGGCTGCGTACAATAGACCCTTGTGGTTCGACCCTTTTCCGAACCCCGCGCATAACGTGAGCTTAGTGCACCGGGCTGCCCTATTTTTTTTATGTTTGGACATACATTTCACTTGAAAAACTATTACAGCTTTGTGAGTGCGGAAAAAACTTTTTTCCCAAAAAATTGAAAAAGTGATTTTTAAAAAACTCATTTTAAAAAAATCTCCAAAAACTTACAGAATTTTATGGGCAAATATATTTTTGAAAAAAAAAATTCGGAAAGAAGGAAAAAAAAGATCTATGGACAAATGGGTCCTGAGCGTTATATGCTACGAGCTTTATAGTCATTATTTATGGGTGTTATATGCCAAAAACTCATAATTTCAGTTCTTTTCCTTTTTCATAAAAAGATAGGTAAAAGAGAAAAAAATTACAGTAAGTGAAAGGACGCCAGTGACAATTCCAGTTTTGATTACAAGTCCCAAGTAGCTTCCACTGAAATGTAACATGTTCCATGAAGGAGGGTTCAACCCTTCTTGTAATTTGCCAATCTACCAAAAGACAAAAGGAAAATAATTAAATAAATATCAAGATTTAGAAATATAATAGATATTAAAAGTATAGATGAATTTCCTTGGGTTTAGAAACTTACAATGCTGATACCATGCTTTTGACCTTTCATTGCAAAGACCAGAAGTGTAGAGATAATGACGGAAAGAAGAGGGGCTCCTGCCGATACCCAAAATAGCTTTGGCTTTCTCATGCTCTGTACCCAAAAGTTTATCATAATAATACTAAGAGACATAGTCATAATATCGCTATATAACAACCATTCATTATAAAAGATAAATTTCTTATGGAACTAACATATATATTCACTATAACAATATTTTGCTATAAGCTAGAAAAATCCGGCGCAAATAAAATTATTATAAAGAGGTTTGACTGTATCAAAAATATATAGGGATTTACAAAAAAAAACATGAAAAATGCTTGATATTGCAAGATTCTTGTACTTTAGCTCGGAATCATTTCTTACTTCAGAAAAATAATTGGTAAGGAATTTAAGAAATTCGAACTTATCTACTGTGCAACAAAACTTTGAAACCACAGTCAATACATTATTATATACTTAATTGTGAACTTCATTAGGACTTGCATTTAGAATTCAGTAAATTACATCAACTAAATATGACTTTTCCTTACATTTTAAAAGTGAAGAAAGAAAAATAAAAGGACAAAACAAAGCTGGAAAAGAACACTTACAATGTGTCTGGTCAATAGGAGGAACACCAAGAAGCAGAATGCCATGAGTATAGTTTGCCAAGACCACTGCACATATACCATATAGAATATTATATACACAAAAAATATACATTATTTCGACTATTATTTTAAAAGTGACTATACGATGTCATTTTCCCTTGCTACTTCAGTTACATCATCAGGTCAAACCCTCAAACCTTGACTGCTTTGACTTGAGTGTAGTCAACTCAGATTGAAAATTAGAAGGTTTGTGGGGATGTCTTCTATAAAGTTTCAATACTTAATAAAGAAATAATTTTTGTCAAACTATTTTGGGAGAAACTTAAAAAAATTCGGTGCATTACTAGCTTATATAATATGCTACACTGGTCAACATTTTTTCTTGCTGACTACATGTTTCTCATTCTACAACACCATTAAATTGCTATTTATTTGTTTTTCTACCATCAATTATTTTCAAATTATAATCACCTTTTTAGACGATTTTAAATTATAATGAACTTATCCACATCAAAATTTGTATTAAAAAATTTTAAAAAATGGGGAGACAATTAGTACTTGATTTTAAGAATCTTGAATTCACATGACAGCATCGAAAGCCAAGTCAGCACGTGAATATTCTTATAATCCAAATGTAGAAAAGACACAGACAAATACAATTCTCTGAATTTGCTCCAAAAAGCTGAAGACTAAAGACAGATTTAGTTTTATATAATTCCAAGAAAGAAAAAGTATAATTATCAGTTACATTTAAGAAGAGGGTAAAAAGACAGTAATAACCTCATTAGTTCTGTGGAAAACAGAACTTAGAACAGGGACTATCGCCATTTGCTTGGTAAAATTTGTGATACCAAGAAGACTCTTGAGTTGCTGCAGTGACACTATAACAGCAGCTCCAGCCATGAATCCAATCAGTGTTGCTTTTGAAAGAAAATCAATAATAAAACCGAGTCTGCAATTTCCCAAAAAGATCAACAAAAAAAAAAGGTTACTAACCAAAACCAATCTCTACACTTGTAATTTTCCTTGTTTTTTCTTTGAAACTGGTAACTTTGTAATTTTCCTTGTTCTTTTTAGGTAATCGTAGAAGGAAAGTCTTGGAGCAACGACAAAATTGTCTCTGTGTGATTCATACGTCACGAGTTCGAACCGTAGACACAAACACTAATACTTGCATTAAAGTAGGCTATATACACATAGGCGGACCTGTGCAATAGATAGAGGGGTCATCGGAACCCGTAAAGTTCGGCACTTCGGCAAAAACTCTATGTATACATGTATATGTCTTTAGAAAATAGTGTGAGCACCCTATATACAAAGCAGATTTTGGTTGAACCAAAAAGTGCACCAGCGAGATTCAAATCCTGGATCGCCTCTATATATACATCACACCCGTTGGGTTCGGTCATTTCCTGGACCCTAGGTGAACACATGATGCCTTGTGCACCGAACTATGTGTTTTTTTTTCTTTAGGGAATTTGCAATTCAGAAGAATGAAATTAAAAAAAAAAGAGTGGGAATTACCTCAAAAAGCCTAAAGAAGCTTGGAAAAGGCCAGCAAAGAAAGTAGAAGAGAAAGCAAGTTGAAGGAACAAGATTGGATCTTTAGTTGGGGACACCACTTCTCTCAACATTGATCCTAAAACAAGTGATGCAATTGAAACTGGCCCTACTGCAAGATCCCTTGAACTTCCAAGAACAGCATAAACAAGAGGAGGAACAAAACTTGAATCTACACTCCAAAAAAGCAAATTAAAAAAAAAAAAATTATTTACTTAAGTACCCCAACAACAAAAAAAATGCATGATGACAATGAAAACACTCACAAAGACCAACAATTGGAGGTAAGTTAGCTAGTTTTGCATAGCTAATTCCCTGCCAAAAAGTAAAAAAGGAAAGAGTTAGCAAAGTAACAATAGTAAAAATGAAATTTACCATAACTTTAGAAGACAAAATCAAGAAAACGGTTACGCCTGAGACGATAAAAGAACCAACAACAATGACGATGACGACCCAGTGAAATTCCACTAGTGGGGTCTGGAGAGGTTAGTGTGTACACAGACCTTATCCCTACCCGAGGGGTAGAGAGGCTGTTTCCGAGAGACACTCGCCTCAAGAAGATGAAAAGAAGACAGAAAGAGGCAATATATCAGTAGTACCATCAATAAAAACCATAGAACGAGACAAAAAAAAAAAAAAAACCAACCTGAGGAATTGCAAGGCTAGCAATGGTGAGGCCAGAGATTATATCAGATTTGAACAGCTTGAAGCTATAATTAGGACCCCATTCTAGTATAGGAAAAACATACTGAGCACCAAGAAGTAGCTTCTGTTTCAATGGCTGACCTTTGAATTGACGTAAAGGGTCATCAGGGAAAAAGGTTTCTTTAAGCCTATTTTTGAGTTTTTGGAAAGTGCTTCTATGGGGTGGAGAAACAACTTTGTGTACCTCCATAGCTGTTATGTCTATAACTCTGTTCTCATTATTTGGTTCCATTTTGGTCTAATTAATGAGAATGGTTTGGAATGCAAAATGACTGTGGTTCCTTTCCTCCTATTTATATTTCCATCAACTTTCAAAAAGACAACTACCAAACAAACTAGTACTACTCCACTTGATAATTTCTATACCTTGGAAAAAAAAGATAACCCTAAATTTGTTTTTAAGGAGGGACTGAAAATAAGAAGAATGTAACAGTAGTGGTGTTGAATATTTTTCCTTGACCAGAGACTTTGGTGCTGACTAAATATATAGGTAAAAAATGGACATATAGAATCTAAAAAGGTGATCACAAAATCTACTTAATATTTGAGTAGAAATATCAAACAAGTAAACTTACTAAAGACTTGGAATTTGTATGGAAGGTAATAGTTAGTGTTATTGTTCAAAAGATGGAGAAAGTGAAGTTGGATAAGATTCTGATGAAAATAAGGTGAGATTTTGTGATAGGTACATATCCAAGTAAATATGTGAAATGGGAAAATGAGAAAATTAATAGAGAAATTTCATTAAATGGAAGGGTGCACTTCTCTAAGAAGGTTATGAAATTTATACAAAAGATGTAGAGTTAAGGATCAAGATTATAAATGAAGAGTACTCAGAGTTTCAGAGGGATAGTTTTAGATAAAGTGATATGTGGAGGTCGGTATGGCGGCAAACTGCTCTTCACTAATTTTTATTTTTATCTCATCATATAAAGAATTTTTTTTTGTTTGTAGAAACATCGCAGTGGGAAAAAATACAAATAAAATACGAGATCACATAAGGCTATGTGTAGTAATTACTTCTTTATTCTCTTACTAATGCTGGGAATAGTTCAAGTTTAATTTCACCTTTTCGATCAAATTATTCTTTAATAATTATATATCTTCTATTCAAGATCTCAGTGTTGTTTTAGGAAAGATATTTTGTGAATTAGAAAATATTTTTAAGGATAAAATAATATAAGTTTTGGTCAAATAAAAATACTCATAAGTTGAAAAGTCTTGGGGTAACCAACTTAGCTCAATTTATGACTTTGGCTGATTTTAATTTATAAGCATTTTAGAGAGTTATCAAACGCATAAATAAGTTAAAATATACCTTATAACTTAGTCAAACACCCTCTACGTTAAAACAGTGAAATAACAATAGGATTGATCAATAAGATTTATGTCCAGAAAGGATCTTTTAACTTGCTCTGAATAGATTATAATAATTAGATATTCAGGGATTTCTGGATGAAAATTCTCAACAAGATCTATATAGGAGTACTTTTATTGATTTTGCATTAAGTAAATATACCTTCTTATTATGTCATTATATGGTGCAGAGTTGCAAAATTCAGTGCTAGAATGACGTCGGCTTATTTAATTTTACTTTTGAAAGTACTGAAATACGAACAAAATGTTGATATGAATTGATTACTCCCTCCGGTCCAAAATAGGTGATTTTTTGTCTTTTTTTTGTGGTCCAAAATAAGTGATTTTTTCAGATTTCAAGAATGAATTAATTATTTTTTTCCTATATTATCCTTGGAGTAAATAGTGTTGGAGTATGTGTTAGGAGTGTTTATGTGAGATAGTAAAGGTTAATATGGTCAATTTCATTGCTAATTAATGCTAAAAGATAGATTTCTTAATCTGTGTGAAAATATCCAAAAAATCACTTATTTTTGACTGGAGGGAGTATATCTTTTTCTTTTTATATTTTGCTTTATTAATAAGGCACGAAAATAAAGTAAGACTTACACATGTCTGAACAAAAATAAAGGACACTATTAGCCAAAAACTCTGTCTGAATACCATGCACAAAATAGAAAGTTCTCAAATTTGTTAGATTTACTGGCTTGTTTATTCCTCGCTAAAATCATTGTTACACAAATAGCCAATCAAATTTACCGTTTACTTTTTTCTAGTCAGTATAGATTATACACAATTATACACGTATTATATACGAATTATACATATATATTATATATCTGTCGGCTATTTAGGTTAATTCTTCATTACAATTAAAGGAACACTAAAAGGTAATTACCTACAAAACTAACACACCCATTCCGCAACAAAGATTGTCCTATGTACTTTTCATATTAAACAAATTATTTTTGATCCTCAAAGATTGAATTTTTCGGTGCGAATACGATTAGTCGGACCTCAAAATGAATCTCAAATATCGGGTGGCAAAAGAAAAAAGACTATCAAAACACAAATATCCTAACCAACTCCTAGGAGTTTACCATAATTTTTCAAACTATAGAAGTCATAGGTCAAAGATGAGTAGAGTAAAGCTAATAGTCTCGAATAAGACACTAATTACTTGCACCTTTTCCAGTCCACGAGTTAGGAAACACAAATACAACATTTTGAATAAGACCATAACTTAATTATACCAAATAGGCACATTCTCTATACTTTCTTGTTCAATAATAATTAAGGATTATTCTAACTGTGAAAGATTTGCATGATACATCCAACCCTACATATAAGAGAAAAGCTAAGTTAGGTGTCCAAATCTGGAAGTAGCAATTAATCACGCAATTGGAAGGAAGTAAAAAGGAATAAACTAATTGAGCAAAAAGGTAGGAAAGAATAGAGAGGCTTGGTTCCAGAAGATCACATGGGAACAGATTCTTGATGTTCTGCGCAATTATTTGGATGTACCAATCAAATTTTGATATATTTGGCAGGACCCTATATTTTGAAATTCAATTATTCCCATCCATGAGGTTGGTCTGCTACATAAATTAAAATAGAACACCATTCTTGAATTAAATTTGTCTTGTCATTAGATGCATAATCTCTGGTTCAACACAGTTCCCTACTTGACCTGTATATTTGTCACTAAAGAGTCAACTTGGAATTTGGTTTTTTCCTATCATTTTTCTGTCTATATTGGAGTTTTTGTTCAAGTGCCAACTTGATTTTCTCCCGTGATATTTTCCTTGTTTTATACTGTGCTTTTCCCTTCTCCGTTTTTAAATCCTTTTGGGGTTGGGAGATGTCGAGATCAGAGATGTAAGATAACAACTCTATCAGCTGGTTGTCGAGATGTGTAACCATCTCATCTAAAAATTTAATTTGTTAGACAGAACATACTTGTTTACCTCGAAAGTACGAGTAACAATTAAATTTGATTTGTGGTTTTAAAGATATGTGATTAAATTCAATACCAATTAATATTCAAGAAATATGAGTTAGAAATGAAAGAAATAAGTGAATCAAACCAATGTTACTCAGCAGTGGTGACCTCGAGATGGATTAAGAGCAATAAAGTAAGAACAAGAACAATTCTGATGATAATTCTTGCCAATGATGAGATGATGTTACAAATGATTGGGGTCCCCTTTATATAATAAGGGAACCCTAAATAAAGTATTTCTATTTACAGTAAGGAATATTCTTGATACAGCCGTCGAACCGCCTAGTACGGAATCGTACAATCCTATTTCGAGATTTGCGCCACGATCTTGGGGGCGTGGCAGGAATCTAGCTCATTCTGTTGAAAATCCATAACGGTACCATTTCGGGGTCGAGCACACTTGCCTTCGGTATTCCTCGCACTCCTATCTTCGGGCATTGCATTCCATCCTCGAGCTCGAGTGTAGTCTGTCGACCTCGAACTCAAGCTTATTTGAACTCGGACCTAAGGCGATCCCTCGAGCCCGGGAGATCGGTCGTGCCTGATTTCGATCGTATACAGATAGTCCCCGCGTTTCTTAGAGCAAGGTGATAAGAAATGATTTGGACCTCGATTCTCCGGAGTCTCTAATGATGATGTCATTCTCGTGACGTGAGCGCTCGAAGTGACTGAAACGTCGCTTTCGTGTAGTTCCCAAAGTCATTAATTGGAGGCAGCTGACGGTCGGCTATTTGGCTTCCCCAATACGCTTAAGTGACTCCTATAAATAGGCCAACCCCACAACTTTGCGAACTTTATTTACCGTTTTCAAAATCTCATTAGCTCCTTCAACTTCTCTGAGTTCATCCTTCTTTTTAACTTGCCCTAACTTTATTTTCTTTTTGAATCTCTACACCATAATGGCCAAAACATCTAAATTTGTTCCTCATAAAGAAAAAGCCTCTTCGTCATCGCGACCGACCAAAAGTAAAATGGTAGTGCCACCTCATATCGAGGAATGTATTCCCCTGCCGTGTGAAACAACATCCGATTTCAAAATTGAAAAACCTGTATCGACACCAGGTCGATGTGAGCCCATGTCCCAATACGTCTGTTTGATAACCGAGGACGAGCTTGAGCAGGTAAAAAGGACTACAACTGGGAGAACAAAGACGTAGTGATCCCTTCCTCCGAGGAGGACATCACTACATATAAAGCGGGGTACTTAAGCGTGTATACCTACCCATTCACACTGGACCCTGCAAATCCAGCTCTGGGTCCCATAGATCCAGTTATTCTTGACTTTTGCCAACAATACCAAGTGACGCTTGGCCAGATCTACCCTTCATTCTGGCGAATCGTTCATTTGCTCAGATTCTTCTCGAGCCAGGTCGAGGGGATGCCTTTCACCCTCGACCATCTGATCAGGCTGTACAGTCCTCGCCTTTATCGAGGTGGCTTGATAAAACTGCAACGTCGATCCTCGAAATCTCTCTTCTCCAGCATCGATGAGGACAAAGACCGAGGACGGAAGAGCCGGTTTGTCCGAGTCAGGACCTCTAACCTGATTCCTGCTGAGAGGATGCCATTCCCCGAGGAATGGAACATGAAACGTAAGTAACTTTATACCCTGCTTCCTCTTCTCTTTCTCGACTTTATCTTTTTCTCGATCTAACCCCCTTTTCCGATGGTACAGCTGTTGCTTGGTTTCCCGGTGCTGTCCCAGACCTCGAAGGTTGGGTCCGAAAACTGGCCTCTACCTCCTCATACGCGGAGCGTTGCTGGCGCGATTTAGCCAAGGGCCGATGGGAGGCAAAAAACCACGGTAAGTTATCTTGTTTGTTTACTTGTATTTCTCGATGAAATACGTACTCTGTCTTTATGCAGGCCTCGGAAACGCTGTTGCTATGCGGTCGCTCCCGCCCGATAAAGAAGAGATCCCAAAGCCTTCCAAAGAAAAGAAAAGAAAGAGGGGGTCACCTGCAAATCCCCTGAAGCCTAAGAAAAGCGCGACTCAAAAGCCTAAGGCCGATACTGTGGCCCTATCTCAAAAAATGGTCCAACGCCTTCGGGACCAGAAAGAAGAGGAAGATGATGACTGCCTGTTGGTAGTTCATAAAAGAGGAAACACCGGTGCTTCGAAGTCTGCCGAACCGGTGGTGGCAGATGCGGTTCATTCTAGAACCAAAGTAATCTCTTAGGGGAGTTCGAGCAGAGTCCCCGAGCCATCGGGCAGCAAAAAGGCACCTCGTCTTGGAGGTCATTTAGAGGGTGAGGCCGAAGGGCCCGGTCCCGAGGCTCTTCAAATAGAAGAGAATGCCCCGAGTGGATCACTTGGGGTAATCAACGTGGTTGAGTCGCCGCCTGGTCCTGAGTTCTCCGAGGGGCAATTCCGAGATGCTTGGAACATGAGATCTCCTGATGTGGGGACGAGCCACGAAGGGCATGATATCGTTCGAGAATGCCTTGCCC